GAGACAGAACGTTCGTGAACAGGGCGGCCACCACCCAAGGATTCCATGGCTTATATTATCCCCGTTCGACATGAGTGTCTGTGTCTGTGTGACTGTCTGTGTGAGTGTCTGTGTCTGTGTGACTGTCTGTGTGAGTGTCTGTGTCTGTGTGACTGTCTGTGTGAGTGTCTGTGTCTGTGTGACTGTCTGTGTGAGTGTCTGTGTCTGTGTGACTGTCTGTGTCTGTGTGAGTGTCTGTGTCTGTGTGACTGTCTGTGTGAGTGTCTGTGTGACTGTCTGTGTGAGTGTCTGTGTCTGTGTGAGTGTCTGTGTCTGTGTGACTGTCTGTGTCTGTGTGAGTGTCTGTGTGACTGTCTGTGTCTGTGTGAGTGTCTGTGTCTGTGTGACTGTCTGTGTCTGTGTGAGTGTCTGTGTGACTGTCTGTGTGAGTGTCTGTGTCTGTGTGACTGTCTGTGTGAGTGTCTGTGTCTGTGTGACTGTCTGTGTCTGTGTGAGTGTCTGTGTCTGTGTGACTGTCTGTGTGAGTGTCTGTGTCTGTGTGACTGTCTGTGTGAGTGTCTGTGTCTGTGTGAGTGTCTGTGTCTGTGTGAGTGTCTGTGTCTGTGTGACTGTCTGTGTGAGTGTCTGTGTCTGTGTGACTGTCTGTGTGAGTGTCTGTGTCTGTGTGACTGTCTGTGTGAGTGTCTGTGTCTGTGTGAGTGTCTGTGTCTGTGTGAGTGTCTGTGTCTGTGTGAGTGTCTGTGTGACTGTCTGTGTGAGTGTCTGTGTGACTGTCTGTGTGAGTGTCTGTGTCTGTGTGACTGTCTGTGTGAGTGTCTGTGTGACTGTCTGTGTCTGTGTGACTGTCTGTGTCTGTGTGACTGTCTGTGTGACTGTCTGTGTGAGTGTCTGTGTCTGTGTGACTGTCTGTGTCTGTGTGAGTGTCTGTGTCTGTGTGACTGTCTGTGTGAGTGTCTGTGTGACTGTCTGTGTGAGTGTCTGTGTCTGTGTGAGTGTCTGTGTCTGTGTGACTGTCTGTGTCTGTGTGAGTGTCTGTGTGACTGTCTGTGTCTGTGTGAGTGTCTGTGTCTGTGTGACTGTCTGTGTCTGTGTGAGTGTCTGTGTGACTGTCTGTGTGAGTGTCTGTGTCTGTGTGAGTGTCTGTGTCTGTGTGACTGTCTGTGTGACTGTCTGTGTCTGTGTGACTGTCTGTGTGTGAGTGTCTGTGTCTGTGTGACTGTCTGTGTCAGTGTCTGTGTCTGTGTCACTGTCTGTGTGCGTGTGTCACTGTCTGTGTGAGTGTCTGTGTCACTGTCTGTGTGCGTGTTACTGTCTGTGTCTGTGTAGCTGTCTGTGTCTGTGTGACTGTCTGTGTGTGTGTCTGTGTGTGTGTCTGTGTGACTGTCTGTGTGAGTGTCTGTGTCTGTGTGAGTGTCTGTGTCTGTGTGAGTGTCTGTGTCTGTGTGAGTGTCTGTGTGACTGTCTGTGTGAGTGTCTGTGTGACTGTCTGTGTGAGTGTCTGTGTCTGTGTGAGTGTCTGTGTCTGGTGTGTGTCTGTGTGACTGTCTGTGTCTGTGTGACTGTCTGTGTGAGTGTCTGTGTCTGTGTGACTGTCTGTGTGACTGTCTGTGTGACTGTCTGTGTGAGTGTCTGTGTCTGTGTGACTGTCTGTGTGACTGTCTGTGTCTGTGTCTGTGTGACTGTCTGTGTGACTGTCTGTGTCTGTGTGACTGTCTGTGTGAGTGTCTGTGTCTGTGTGAGTGTCTGTGTGACTGTCTGTGTCTGTGTGACTGTCTGTGTGAGTGTCTGTGTCTGTGTGAGTGTCTGTGTCTGTGTGAGTGTCTGTGTGAGTGTCTGTGTCTGTGTGAGTGTCTGTGTCTGTGTGACTGTCTGTGTGAGTGTCTGTGTCTGTTTGAGTGTCTGTGTCTGTGTGACGGGCCTGACCTGCCTCCATGCTGTGGCCGTTGCTGGGAGACCATCCCGGACCAACAAGTGTCTGCAATGGCAAGAGTGTCCCCAGCCTGGCATTGTGGGTGACCTCCGGCGCAGCCGCCACCTGGTGGTGACTGTGCTGTATAGCAGGAGGTGGATCTCACCTGGTTATTAATAATAATAATCATCATCATCATAAACCCGACACAGAGCGTCAAACCTCTCACAGCGGGTTACAGGGTTTACCATAATCAACAACAACAACTTGCATTGATTTTGCGCCCATCACATGGGGTGCCTGGCTCGCCGGGGGGGGGGGGGGGGCAGCGGGGTGGGGGGCAGCGGGGTGGGGGGCATATGATATAATAATAATTGCATCAATCCTTGCATTTGATATAATAATAATAATAATAATCCTTGCATTTGGTCTCGAACCTTTCGCGTCGGGAGGACGGCCCAACGTACTTTACAGAATTTACTATGAATGTATAGATAATTATTTGGGGAGGACGAGTTTGCAGGGCTATGGGGAGAGAGCGGGGGAGTGGGGTTGATCAGGGCTATGGGGGGAGAGCGGGGGAGTGGGGTTGATCAGGGCTGTGGGGTTGATCAGGCTATGGGGAGAGCGGGGGAGTGGGGTTGATCAGGGCTGTGGGGTTGATCAGGGCTATGGGGGGAGGGGGAGTGGGGTTGATCAGGGCTGTGGGGTTGATCAGGGCTATGGGGGGAGAGCGGGGGAGTGGGGTTGATCAGGGCTATGGGGGAGGGCGGGGGAGTGGGGTTGATCAGGGCTATGGGGGGAGCGGGGGAGTGGGGTTGATCAGGGCTATGGGGGAGAGCGGGGGAGTGGGGTTGATCAGGGCTATGGGGGGAGAGCGGGGGAGTGGGGTTGATCAGGGCTATGGGGGAGAGCGGGGGAGTGGGGTTGATCAGGGCTATGGGGGATCGGGGGAGTGGGGCTGATCGGGTTGGGGGAGTGCGGGGGAGTGGGGTTGATCAGGGCTATGGGGGAGGCGGGGGAGTGGGGTTGATCAGGGCTATGGGGGAGAGCGGGGGAGTGGGGTTGATCAGGGCTATGGGGGGAGCGGGGGGAGTGGGGTTGATCAGGGCTATGGGGGGGCGGCGGGGAGTGGGGTTGATCAGGGCTATGGGGGGGGGGGGGAGTGGGGTTGATCAGGGCTATGGGGGGGTGGGGGTGGGGTTGATCAGGGCTATGGGGGGAGGGCGGGGGAGTGGGTTTGATCAGGGCTATGGGGGGAGTGCGGGGGAGTGGGGTTGATCAGGGCTATGGGGGGAGCGCGGGGCAGTGGGGTTGATCAGGGCTATGGGGGGAGTGCGGGGGAGTGGGGTTGATCAGGGCTATGGGGGGGGAGAGATGGGGGTGTGGGGTTGATCAGGGCTATGGGGGGAGGGCAGGGGAGTGGGTTTGATCAAGGCTATGGGGGGAGTGCGGGGGAGTGGGGTTGATCAGGGCTATGGGGGAGGGCGGGGAGTGGGGTTGATGAGGGCTGTGGGGAGAGAGGGGGGAGTGGGTTGATCAGGGCTATGGGTGGAGCGGGAGTGGGGTTGATCAGGGCTGTGGGTTGATCAGGGCTATGGGGAGAGCAGGGGAGTGGGTT